AGCAAGCATTTTGTATAACAAATACAATAAGGTATCCTAATATTCTATACTTACTGATTTATCTATCTAAAAATCTACCTATGTTTTACTAATAACACTATTTTTTGGGGGCACTGTTTATATATTATATTCCCCCAAAACTGGAGAAAGTGATTCATGGCAATGATATTCAATATTGGATTTAAGAAAGACCAACAAAGGGGTCCTACCTCAGGTTTTACTGTGATGACACTTTTAAGAGATGAACTATTAGTGGATACCCATTGTTCTAAGCCCAAGGAACACCAAGAATACCTATTGTAACAAATACATTCTAATATGTATCTGCATACTTTCTAAATAGTAAAGTTTCAAATACATTCATATTTAGAGCCATCATTAGGAAAACACTTCATATTTTTAAAAAAGAAAACCTCATTTCACCAAAAATCCATGTTGATTAAATCATTGTTATAGGCAATGCCAACACTGCTGGGATGTCATACTTAAACAATTTGTTAAGGCAAAATATTGTAGTGAAATACACCCAGTTTCTAGAGGATGGCATTATAAGGGTTCACATATTTGGAGGGGAATGGTGGAAATAAGGGACAAAGTGGAACCTGTAATAGAGTGGGAGATTAAGGAAGGGAACTTAAATGTGTTGTGGGATATATAATTGGACATGAAAGGTAGCAATGGCAACACTGTTGAATCTGAGAGGAAAAAGGAAAGCCAAGGAGAAGTTGAAATATGGGATTGTACGTGATTGGAGTTTTTGATTTGAGAGGGGACAGACAGGCCTGTCTGGAAGGTTTCTAAATCTGATTTTACTTTCAAAATTGCAAAAAGGTTGATGAAACAACAAGGGCCTATCAACACTGGAGGATTATGGTGTAAGAAAATTTGGAACAAAGGGATTACATGGAAAATGTCATTCCTAGCTTGGGGGGTGTTCAAAAGGAAATTGCCTGTTGATGATGTACTAAGAAGAATGGGATACCAAACAGTCTCCAAGTGTCCATGTTGCATTAGGCCTGGCTGTGATACATTGCAGCCCATATTTGGAACTGGGAAACTGCTACTTTGCAACACATATTTGGAACTAGGGAAACTGCTACTTCAAAGAGTAGCTGAGGGGAGGTAAGTTGAGGTCGTAAGTCCAAGAGGGACTGTCTTATCCCAATGAAGGGTTACTGAGGGGATACAGATTAACCTTGGCCTTTAGAAAAGAAAGAGTGGTAGTTGTGAGGGTTATAAGGGAGGTGTAAGCTTGAGAAAGAATGCCTTTTTTTTAAGGCATCAGAATGATATTATGTTCATCATCTGGGTGCCATTGATTTTAAAAATCCAGCCACATATATGATGCAATCAGAAATTTGATTTCATCGAATCAATGCTTTTCAAATAAGTAATCTGCAAATGGCAAATTGAAAGTTCAATCTCTCTATTTGCTGAAATTTTGCACTTTAACGTACTGAAAAGAGGATATGAGGCAAATTTTTAAATACTATTAAAATTACTTGAATAAATAAACTATATTGCAAGCAATAAATAAGTGAAATCATCCACCGCAGATTAACTACCAAAAAGTATTTTAGATGACAATCATATTAGGATAAAAAAACGTTTTCCAAACCGTATAAAAAATTGTGTGTTTCATCTGTCTCTGAATTTTTAAAACAGAAACAACAAAATCTAACTTCATGTTTTAAAAAAACTATATGAGACTTTGAGGGCATAAGAATATATTTTTCATAATCTGGTCTGAATTGAAAATAAAGCCTTTTAAGTTATAAAAAAAGGTAATATACTTTAAGAAAATTCATAAAGTAATTAGGTTTTAACTTAAAAAATGTTGTAAACATTGTTCCATTAGAATTCCATAAATTCAATAAACTGCAGATTATTGAATATTTAAATTTGAATATACTTGATGTTGTCTTCTTCTATTAGTTCTTATATGCCTCTTGCAATGATAGCCTTTTTAATCTTCCTGCTCTGTAATGAAAAAATTGAATAAATAACTTCGAATAAACTATGTTTTGTCATTTGCATGTTCAAGTCAAAAATAATTTCTGAGCATATAAACTATCTGTGAGCATAATAAATAATTTCACCTCCAAAATCCTTCATAAATAGTGACGTAAATACAAACTAAACTTCATAGAAAGTTTAAAAAATTTTACTTTAAGTTTTAGTAAAACCCTAATTCAAATACAGAAATAAAACGATAATAATTTCTTAATCTAACAAACACAAAAAGATATAGACAAATCTATAATAAAATAAAGAGTAAACGGACTATAGCAAGTAAAGGTATAGGCTAACTTAGCTCAGTGAGGGTTTTCGACTGCTTCCTCAAACCGACGGTGCGATCATGGTTAAACTTCAATTTTATGAACTGAAGATGAAGATCACTAGGCCAAAATTCCAGAACTCATCTTTTAGATTACAAAAATTAGGAACAACAAACTACGTAACCTAGGGTTGATGTTCAGAGACCAAATCGGTAGCTAAGAAGCAAAACATAAACAATAACTGTAGAAATTAGGGTTGAAGGCAGATTTTCGGACAGAGGTAGAGAATCGGCAGTGAAGCGAGAGAATGCGAACCGTCGGCTGAGTATTAGATGTAGCTAATTTTTGTTTATATATTTCCTGTAGTGGGTCGAGTTATTGGGTTGTGATTGGGTATATATGTGTTTGGGCTTAAAGAAATTGGATTTGGGCCTAAAACTAGTTATAAAAATATTTTTAAGCTTGATTCTATAGGTTATTTATATTGTTATAGTTTGGTGTTTTATAATATTTAATATGCTTCTATAATACATTTATACATATCATATTATATATAAGCTCACAAAAATATTATTCAAATTTTACTAATAAAAAGTATTTAAGGTTTTATATTTCTTCATACTTTAATCTTTATTATACATCTATATGTTCATTATATATTTGTTATAAATGTTAAGATGGTGAAAATAGTATGTAATTTTATTTAGTCTAAGTTTTAGTACCATAATAAATAAAGATTGTGCAATAAATTCATTTCGTATATAATATTAATATTATATTATCAATCTTCTTTATTGTGAAATAAAAAGATCATTTGGTAGATTTATGATTGTAGAGAATGGAGACAATACATCATTAACAAATATTGCAAATGAACTCTCACAATATGGTAGTTCTAACATTTCTATAAGATACTCGGTTGGAGGATGTTCTACAGAAGCAATTTTCTTTGATGCTCTCTTATAGTAGGAAAATAAATAAAAGACAAGGGCAAACACTCTCAAAAGTGAGGTTGTTTTTTAAAATGCCTATTTTAACCATGGTCAATTGTACGTAGCAGTCTTTAGAGTTAGTAATCTTAGGGGTTTAAAATTTTGATTTGTGGCGCAAATGTATCATTTCTAATTACGACTAAAAATGTTGTGTACGAAGAAGTTTTCAATAACGTGTAATAAAATTGCAATATTTATTGTTTCAAAATGATTAAATTTTCATATATTATATTCTCTTCTTATTATATTATACTGTATATTTTATATACTATATATATGACCGTGCATCGCACAGGTACAAATACTAGTATATATAAGATTGAAGATACATGAATTGACATATATGAGAATGGAAAATTATTATTTTTAAAAGCAAAAAATGGTCTAGCAATGCAACCACACTTCTCATAGTTTCCACCCGATGTGGCTATCCCAGTAATTTATCAAGTAACCTTCTTCACAAGGTGTCCATGTTGGTTGAGTATGAATATTTAGTTTTATTTTCATATTCATACTTTTAATTTCAGATTATTATTATGCATATAATCAAATTAAGTGCATAATATTACGATTTTAAATTATGCAATTTGATTATGTGAGAATTTAATTTGCAAATGAAAATATATCTTGTGATTTTGATATTATTGGAGTTTGCATTATTAAGCTATTTCTCATAAAGTTGAGAATATGCATTGTACTATTGTAGCATTTTTGTATTGGGCTTGCATTTGAAACTTTTCAATATTTGGAGCTGATTGTATTCTATGCATAATTGTTTACTGGCATAACACTCTGGATGAGCTCACATAAGGTTTTTTCCTTCAAAGATAACATGGGTATATCATTATGTATTTATTTTATTATGGCAATTTGTTTAAGAAACTATGTAGCATTTGTTCAATTGTTGCTTAGGTTTAAAAAAAAGCATACTTGAACGATGACAATAATTTTTTTTTTTTTTTTTTTTTTATCATTTCACTCCATACAATTGAATGTTGAGTGCATTAATTGTTTCTCTAATTGTCATGACACAATTATTTACAATAGACATTTTATTAAAGAGCTTTGTTAAGCAATTATGGAGGAAATATATCTATTATGGGGACCTCCATAATTGAGAAACCACCATACTTATCCACTACATATCACAAACGCCTAATACGGGGTTCAACACCATGATGCATTTCTCTATCTGCGTTCAACCTTTAGTATGCAACCCTTCTACCTATATCCCATCATGAGAAATCAACAATGATGCTGGTTGCGTTATAAGATCTTTTCTTGGCATTAGGGGGAGATTTAAAGTTCCTAATTAGTTAAATGCCGAGAAAATTTCATGAGATAAAAATCTTCAAACCCATGTACTAGTCTTATAGAATCAGAAGTTCAGATACTGAACAAAAAATCTGCTAGAAATTGCAAGAAGTGGCTAAGTCCATAGAAAATATTTCATATATATTAAGAGTTGAAATCCTCAATTAGGACTAAATATCTCTACCGCTTTTCTTTATGCCGGAAGCATATGAAATTTATTGGTTTATGAATTTGCAAAAACTAGATCTAGTGTAGAAATTTCGTTACTCCTGAAATATAAAATTTTATCTTGAAGATATTCATCTGGAAGGCGAAAACCCTAGTAATATTATATTATAGGTGCACCAAATAACTAAAATACTGGGCAAGCGGAACAACCAAATCCAAATACTCTTGGGAATGTCATATGTATGGTTGGTACCAAAATTGCCATGCATATGACAGATATTTACAAAGCATTTACAGTTGTCGACAACATATTTGCCTCTATTGCTCATAAATACTTAAAATCTGGATCCAGAAATTAAAACAGTAGTATAACGTCCGAAGCGTGCTAACTGTTTTGATAGAAAAGAGCAATTAAGGCATACAAATCAAAACTTGCTAAAGAAATAGATACACCAAGAGGTGTCATGAAAATACAAGAAATGTAATAAAAGGCGAGTTGAGGGTTATCGTAGAGACCCAATATTGGTCATGGCATTATATTATGCTATTTGATAAAACTAGTAGTAAATAAATTAGATATGTAGCTAATAGACATAGGTATCACATATTTATATGGGTAACTGGTTATTTATATATTTAAAATCCCTGATGGATTTTCTCAAAATGTGATGAAAGAAAATCACAAAATAAGAAGTATAAAAGTTAGTAAGTTACTAACTATGATATTTCTTATAGTCAATAAATAGACTAAAGGTATTTTCTCCCCAAGAAGAAAGAAGTATGAAAGTATATTATCATAATTCATATTCATATTAGAAGTTATTTGCCTAGAAATGGTATATATGATTGGAAAACTCAAATATCGTTTCCTAGAAGGATATCTATAAGTCCTTCTTGAAAATATCCTAAATATATCCTTCAGTACCTACATTAATTGTCGTCCAAATATCTCGAAATAGATAAAAGGCTATCTAAATAATGAGGATATCTTGAGAGACTAGAAGTCCATTACTTCATCGCTAAATGGATATATTTGAAGGATAGTAGATAGTAGACGAGTTATATAAATATTCGACCCACGTACGTTCCAGAAGAGTCACGAAATTATTGTATAAAATGATAAATTCTAATGACAATCTTGAAAATTGTACCATATCCCTTCTCTACACATTTTGAAGCAATGACTTTATTTTTAGCAATGTAGAACTTGAAGATTGTTATCTTCAGGGGGCGACGGGAAGTACATTCACTTGAATCAATCCTGTAGATTGAGTCTTAAAATACTAACCATTGTACTCAATCAATCCTGTAGATTGAGTCTTCACATATACATACCATGTACTCTTTTCCTCACTAGGTTTTTCCCATTGAGTTTTTCTAGTGTGGTTTTTAACGAGGCATGAGTATGATATAGAAATGTCAATGGGAGAAAGTTGCAAGTAAATACTTAAATAGACAAACCCCAAAATCTTGAAGATTATGCCTTGAAGGCTTATGGTTGTACTCTTTTTTCTTTAACTAAGTTTTTTCCCACAGGGTTTTCTTAAGTTAAGGTTTTTAATGAGGCACCCAATACAATATATGATTTTTAGTTTTTCACAAATATCATGTACTATTTTCTTCAACTAGGTTTTTCCCACGTGGTTTTTCCTAGTGAAGTTTTTAACAAGGCATGAATATATGTAAATAGTACTCTTTTTGTCTAGGTTTTTCCCATAGGGTTTTTGTAGCAAGTTTTTTGAGGCAAGATCGTGTCCGAATAATGTCCAAGGGGGAGTGTTATAAATAATATATTTAATGTGGCCATTATTAGTATTGATTATGTAACAGTTAGGAGATTTATGATTAAATTATGTCTTCTGTTACATTTGTATATTATATATGTTGTAGTTGTATGTAATATTGATGATATAGATGAATAACAAGATACTCTTGCCTTGTCTATTACTTCCTTTTCTTCAACTTCTTCAATTCTTTTGATCAATGTTTGAGCTAATGGGTTACAACAATTGACAATATATTTGTCAAGTTTATTCTAAGTTTATTTTAGTTTTTATTGGTCTTCATTAAGAGTCTGTTTGGAAACCTATAAAATGACTTCTAAAAAATGTTTTCCGAGTTTACTATGTTTGGATGCAATAGGAAAATCCAGTCAATGGAAAACATTTTCCGTTGACAGGAGAAAATGTAAGCATTTTGGCGAAAAATGACTTCTGCCAAAATTTACCAGAAGACATTTTCCGCTAAATTGCCAAAATTTGGAGTGGGTAACAAGGATGAATGAAATGCCAAAATTTGGCGGAACTCTCTGATTTTCACAGCGGGAAACCGGTTTGGTTTCCGGTACGAAAACTCTGATTTCCAGCTGCTGAAACTAGAGAGTTCCTCTGAATTTTATTTTATATTTTTTAAATATAAAAAAATGCATGTTTTTTATTTTTATATAAAAAAAAACAGTGTGTTTTATATATTTTTAAATTTTATTTGTTTTTATAGATCGATAGAGAAAAAATGATTTATTTTTTTGGTATATAACACTTAAAATAAAATGTTGAAGTGTATGATTCTACTCTTTTTGAGTAGAATGAGCAAATACACTGATGGTTTTATTGGGACCGGGTCCACCATAAACTGGATACAGAAATATAGGCAAAGAATAACTTTATTACCCGGGGCGCTAAAATGACGGCCCAAGTACAAAGAACAGGGCCCAGAGGGTGGGCTATTGCTAATTATGCTACTACGAGGAATCAAACCCAAGTATGAAGATTGAGAGTATGAGATCAAGACCACTGAACTGTAGTACTTGTCATGTCTGTCTCGCCCCCTGCCAAGAATCCAGGGCCCCTATTTATAGCCTACCCCCTTCCCTCTCCTGACACCCACGTTTCCCACATACTCAAACGCCACTCCCCCATTTTTCGCACGCCAGTTCGCACGTTCACCACACCTCTGACACCCCCACAACTTCTCCCGCGCACCCCACGCACCCCGGACGGACCGCCCCCCGGCGCCGGTGATCGCACGCCGTCGCGCCCCACACGATGAGGGCGCTAGGCCCGCGCCCATCCGCGGCTGGGGCCGGCGACCTCCTCCGGCCAGTCGTCGCTCCCGTGGCCTTGCACGGGGGCGCTACTCCGCACCCAGGTGCGCTTGGCGCGCCATTGCCGACTGGGGCCAGCGCCCCAACCAGTGATCCCTTTTGACCACCAGCGCCGGCCATCCCTCAGTTCCCTCGCCGCCGTGCCCCCGACCATACCCCCTGGATCCGTCCGGCCCAACAACGTCAGCCCAATAAGTCCTCAGCTCATACCCAATATCCCCATCATATACAAAGACAGTTTTCTGTTGTACATCCAAACACGAGAAAGGAAAATATTTTCTGGAAAATGAGTCATTTTCCAGAAGTCATTTTACGTGTTTCTAAACGGACCCTAATAGATATAATTAATTATGCATGAGGTCTCAGATTAATTATGTCTGAAGATTAAAGAAGTGGCTGATATTTATTCAAGCAATATTATTGGTTTGTGATTATATTTTTTAGGCTAATATTTGATTATTTGATTTAAGGAGATAACTCTGCAACAATATTTCAAAAGTTTCAGAACTATGCTGCAAGTATAAATAGGTGGTGAGTCTACAAAGAAGTTGAAGCTGAAATATATAGAAAATGAAAACTGCAATTAACACTATCTTCCCTTCAGTTTTAATATGCAAAGTCCGTAAATTTAAGTTTAAGTAATTAGACTTATTTTATTGTAGATAGATGGCTATCTAGACTAGAAGTTTGATATAATATGATGTTCTTCCAAAATTGGAAGTCTTGTTCATTGGTCCAGGAAATGTGAAGAAGTTGGGGAACATTGACTCCTACATTACTGCAAACTGAAGAGATGATGATGATTAGTTGGTGTTGAAGATTAGGCTATAGCTGTTGTATGAAAATCTATTGAACCATGTATCATCTAGTGGAGTTGGGTTTCACCTTTGTGTGACCTCGCAGACGTAGGAGAAATTCTCCAACTGCGTAAACATATTCTGGTTCATTTACTTTTCCTACATTGTTTTTATAGTCTATTTTGTTTCTGAGACACAACTAAATACAGACAATGTTGGTGATAATGAACCAAAATCGATTTAATATCCCAAAATAATATTTATATATACACACATGAAAGTATATAAAATATTATTGGATATATATATCCGAAATATATATATATATATATATATATATATATATATATATATATATATATATATATATATATATATATATATATATATATATATATATATATAATTCGGACCCAAAGGTTATATATAAATATATATCTACGAAAAAGATATACCAATATATATATATATATATATCAACCAAAAAATGGAACTTATAATCCTCTTGATTATAATTCCAAACCAACGAATATATCAAAAGAGGGAGGATTTTGCTTAGAAGCGTAATCCAAAACCGAAAGAAGGAAAAGATGGCTCGTATATGGGTATAGGGTTTTTAGCGTGAGTCAAGAGACCACTCTTTCCTTAAAACCTTATTTGCCACCTCCCAAAAGTGTTAGGAGCGTCGTGGCCTAGGTTTCCCAGGATAAAACGCGCTACGATTCGACGTTTGAGAACCCAAACGAGCGAACCCGGCGAACTAAAGCAAAGCCTTGAACACAGTTTAGGCAAATAAAGGAATAAAAGCAGAGTTTTGAGGAGAAAAACACTTCTTATGTTGTGTGTTCTTGTCACTTTTTGCTTAGAAAATCTACTGCCCTCTACCCCTTCTTATATAGGGATGATAGAATTGATTGCATTCAATTTGGCATTACCTCCACGATGTGTAACATCTGAAACAACAACACCCATTACTAGAGAGTTAAATTCAAATTTAAAATTGGAATTAATTAACAATTAATTCCGTAACGGATGAATTTAATCTCACAGTAATCTGTTGGCCTACAGCCTAGTTTCGGCCTCAATGCCGAAACATATCTTGTTTGTGTTCAGTTCGGCCTTGGCTAAGGCCGAGAGCAGAACTCTCGTACAGCTCTCTCTCGGCCAAGGCCGAAACCGAGAGTAAACTCTCGTGTTGCTTGACAGGGAGAGCAACTCTCGTCCAAGGCCAGGCCTGGCCGAGACCTGCTGTAACACCCCGTGTTACGATCCCTAAAATCAATTAAATCATTTAATCAATTACCCAAAAGAAAGAATTAAAACACAGGAATTAATTAGGAAAGGCCCACCATAGTCCAC